TGTGTAGGTAGCGTTTATATATCGTAATGGAAGTCTCTGAACGCCGATAGGGAACTTCCTGGAAGTCTTTTGAAGCGACGCGACATCTAGAACGAAGCGCAAGTCGAGTTGAGTGCGACCTTGGTACATTGATACATTTGAAAAAAAATCTCCTCAAGCGCTTGAGGAAGCTATTGTATAATGAAAATCATTGAATGAACTGTATTAATTAGATTTTATGTCTTAATGAGGTAACAAAAACCAAATAAAATGTATATAAATGCAATTGTTAATTAAAATAGAATGTAATGGTTATATAGTAAATACTCTTATAAACTGTTATAGAGTCTATCCAACAAGCAAATTATTTACTGCTTTTTTCAATTAAAAGTGGGTAAGGTTTACAGACCTTAACTCTTAATGGTAATCGATTGAATAATTTATCACCGTTAATAGTAGATGGAATCTTTGATTAAATTCAAAGTAGCAGTGGGTTGTCTGAAACTTCAATTGCTATAGTGAGCAGCATAAGGAAATATTACTTTTCACTTGTTTAACATGTTCGTTATCACTATCACTTCGTTATTGAACGAATGTTTTTTATTGTGGAGGAAATCCGATTTTTTTATCGATCTTCTTTTAGTATTAACAAATTCACATTTTTCAGTAAAGATTTGTTACAGTTGTTGTACAAACACACATCTATAACTTTTTTCGTTGCTTAGAAGCCGTCTGTCCGTACCAAAGATTTCAGTCCCCACATCTAATTCAGAACCCATAGACGGACCTGATCTGAATCTAACACAGCTCGTTCATTACCAGTGATATCTGAGTGTCCTGGCATCCAATATAGAGTTTATCAATCACTTATCAATATCACTTTTGTGTTAAGGAATGTTATGTGTGTAGTCTGGCTGTCTGTATACCCATACCTTACTTTAATAAAGGGGCAGAAGAAAGCCTTAACAAATAATGCAGTTGATACTTATTTTATGTTATATTATTTCATAATTGTGTTTTTCCAATTAGAGAACTTTGTCTGTAAGTCAGAAAGTCTTTTTTGTGTACAGCCATGAGTTTCTTTATCAGTTTCAAACTGTTCATTTGTCAACAATGTTGATATACTCGCTTTTTATCGACTTTTGATTTTCTTCTTCTAAGTGAGTCATAAGTTTTTGCCGACAACCACAAAATATTAAAAGAGACTTTGGTCATTTACATCTTATTCGGTGTCTCATGAATGCATTTAAAAAATATTTTTATGTCATCAAATATTATTTTTATTATAATTGAAGGATCAAAGAAAATGTTTCAACGATATCACTGAATCATATGAAGTTCATCAAACTATATGCGAACTTTTTCAGCCTATTTAAACGAAAACGCTGAGACACTCCGTATACTTCAGTGAAACACAATTCGTTTTCGTTTCCTGAGATTGTACGTTTGCCATCGGTAATTGAATCATTCAGCAGCTCATTGTAATACCACAGATAAGATAAGGATATATTTTTAAAAAATCTGCAGTGCTGGTTTTCAATTTACTTCAGTATTTAGTAGTTGGCCGTAATTCTTTAGTTTAGTGTTTATTTCTGGATGAAATCTAGATGAACGTTGTATGTTTCGTAACAAATGAAGGTAAAAAGTTTGCCATTTCTTGTAAGTGTTGACCATACAGTTGAATGACAGCTCGTCATCGTGTTGAAGTCTCTCTGATGTATGGCATCGTATCTTTGACGTCATAAATTCATACCCGGTGTTCCTTTTGAAATTCTCCAACGACTTCAGTTAAGCGGAGGGAATTGATTTTAAAATCATCTTTCATAGTATGCATTTTCGGAGCCAAAATTTAAAAAAATTATACTTTTTTGTTTTCAATGTTGGAAACATTTATTAATTTTTTTTTAGGAAGTACGCGGAGAAACATATAAAAAGAGTTTATGTCGCTACGGTGTTAGAGAAACGCGTCTAGAATTTGAAAAAATGTTTGTGAAAATCTATCACCAATCTGTCGATTCGGCTTGCATCCATGAGTATATGGATGTGTTTATACATGTTTTGGCTACCCCGCAGAATGGTTCTGGGCCAATCATAACCTTGGATGCGCCTTCACGGGCTAGAACATCGGCCTCCTCATTGCCCTTGTGACCCTCATGTCCGGATACCCAAGCTAGAGTGACCCTATTTTGAGTNTTTATTGAATGAATAAATTACTGAAATTACTGAGTTACTATCACGAGAAAGATCTTCGCGGTATGTACAGAGTGGGCGAAATTGGACACTGTCAAAGGGAAACTCCTGTTTTCAAACTAGATAGATGAAAACTGATGGCTGTGTCTGGTGGTCAAATTTTATGACAAACCTAATGGTGAAAACTGCATATCGATATCTATCATAGTTCTCCATCAATAAATATTGATAGCTCAATCGAAAAAATTAGTTTCTTACACAATTGTAAGTAAAAAAGTGCTTTGGGAATGTTTTCATAGAAACAAGAAATATTTGACAGGAAAAAAGTTACAGCAACTTTTCGAAAATGTACATTTTCGAAAAACATGCTGTAACTCAGAACCGATGATTGATCGATATGCGGTTTTCACCGTCAAGTTCGTCATAAAATTTGATCCTCAGACACAGCCATTAGTTTTCATCTATCTAGTGTGAAAACAGGAGTTTCCCCTTAAAAGTGTCCAATTTGGCCCACTCTATACAAACTGATAATTTATGTTTCACTGTTCCCAAATATCTGTTACAATTATCCTACTCACGTTGCCACATTTTTTATTTTAGGCAGCATCGACTACTGTGGTCATTAGCTGTTTTTCATTGAAAAGACTATCTGTATCTGTAGGATAGGGAGGGCGAGTGTAGACTCACAGCACTTGGGCCACATGTGACCCATTGTACATCCTCCCGAGGAGTTGCCCTCCTTAGTCATCGTTCATCCTGTCCTGTCCAGGAAGGTGAACAGGTCACTAGGAGACATCTCCTTTATATTGACAGGTGTAGGCCAAGACTCGCCGAACACACACTCTCTTTGGCAACCTTGAGGTGTCTCACGGTGGCCTTCGCGAAGGTTTTGGAAGGTGCAGCGATATTATTGTCGTTGCTCGGCTTCTTCAACCTTCTTGGGATTCCCTCCATGGAGGTACACAAGTGAGGGAGCTTTTCTACAGGGGCAGCCGGTTCCTTGCCTTCATTCAAGGCGGAGCTCTTGGCGCTCGACGCAAGAAGTGTCCTTGCTGTTGGAGGTGATCTGCTATGTCCAGCCTCATTGGGGTGGACATTTCTGTTCATTCCTAGCCACCGCCTTAGATTCAGGTGAACACTTCTGTCCAGCCTCGGAATTGGTTTTTGTTTTTGTTATTTCTGTTTTTGTGTTTTTTCATTCATTTGTGTTCCCACGAGTAGCAAGGGAAGAGTTGGTCACCTCTGGTAGAGCCCTGCATATCACCCTGCGGCCATTCAGCTGTCGCGGCACGATTCCTTTTTCCTTAGTTTGGGTAGGCTGGTCCAGGTGGCATGGTTTGCAAAGACTCTTGGGGGGTTTTAGTTCCCCTTACCCTACTTATTTCTGCCACTGACCAGAAGTCCGGCCACCCCGTTCGTAAAGCCACATTGGCTTCCCGGACAGGGCCTCCAGTCCCCTAGCCGTTCCCTTATCCGCCACCTGGGGACGCGCCCGATAGGTAGCCCAACCCACGGTTGAAAAGACTATTTGCAAAATGTTAGATTCTTCAGGTATATACCCAAAGGATTTCAAAAATATCATTGTGTTTTTTATTACTCGTTGGATCGTCTCCTGCATGTGGTAGATAGGTACTCACATGAGTAAGTGCTGTATGATTTATCCGTAGACGATGTGAGCGTATCTTGGCTGCACTCAATGTAACAGGAGGATATGTGTGATCTATTACTTGACCTTGTGCTCTTTGTATATTACTGCAGTTTTTTTCCAACCCCAAACCGTTATTTTAACACCTCGACACGTGTTTCGATCATCAAGTGATCATCTTCAAGAGGAAGATTAAACTGATTTTGAGTTTAATCTTTCTCTTGAAGATGATCACTTGGTGATCGAAACACGTGTCGAGGTGTAAAAATAACGGTTTGGTGTTGGGAAACAACTCCAGTAATATTCATTACTACAGCAAAGGTTCCAAACAGTGCATCACTTTGTAATAAATAAATATGTGATTGATGAAATATTATTGAAAATAAATTTGTTTAAGACAGTCAATTCATTAAGTTGTTACAATAGGTAAACTTCGAATAAACAAGAGTTTCACATAGAGTTTTGCGCAAGGATAAACCTGTTGCTGTATAGAGTTTTCAGTGACAAGGATTTTAAACGGAGGAAATTGTCTATCATCATCCTAAACTTTTCACCGGCACATCATTGATAACAACTGCTATGTATAACTGCTGTGAATAAGAAATCCTATGTTTTTGGTGATAAAACTAATATTTCTGGCTTCGTCGAGTTCAGTTTCAAGTTATGGGAGGAACTCTTTCAAATATAACATCAATGATATTATCGAGCGTACTATGTGCTTCATTAAGGTCTTCATTAGGGAAACTACATATTTTAGAACACATCTTTTACATATTTACATATTTTAGAATACAGCGATGTAAATAATAAGAAACAGGGGATCGAAAATAGTCTCTTGTGGCACTCCCGCTTTACTTTCAACGTAGTCAAGAGTTTTTTCTTTTGAAATGATATCCGGTTTTCGATTTGTTGAATACGACCTTGAACATTGCAAGCGAACTATCGGGGAAACCGTAATATTTAAATTTTCTATAAACACGTGTCGAGGTGTAAAAATAACGGTTTGGTGTTGGGAAACAACTCCAGTAATATTCATTACTACAGCAAAGGTTCCAAACAGTGCATCACAAGTACTTGTGCTCTTTGTTTAGCAGCAATAACAGTCATTGGAATAAAGTAAGTGTTGAACTCATTATAGTGCAGAGTCTATAGATTTTAAGCAGCAAACCGAGGTTGTATGTTTCGCAAAAATTTGAAATGCTTCACGATTTTGCGTGTCATCTTGGCAAAGGGGTCTTTTAATTCTTCTCCGTATCGTTACAATTTTAGTATTATGCACCGTCAAAGCGAGTATTTCTTTTCACCGAAGAGAAAGCTGATCGGGCCATGTTCCCGAAGTTGCGACACATTCGGGAAGGCTCTCGAAGGCATTATCAACCTATGACCACTCCACACATCGTGAGGTAAGTGATCATTGGGCCCTGAGTAGACAGAATGAGCCAGCTTTTTGCATTTGTCTGGCCAGGATTTCTGCCTTAGTGCGGCAATCCGTCATGATCTTGTGATTCGTGAAAGTGAAGGCATCATTTCACTACATATCCCGAATAATTCATGATATCTCCTCGAATGCAAGTACTTAACACTCCATTGTGTGATTTTCACTGGATAGTTTACAAACTCGCAACACGTGATTCGCTATACAATAGCTTCCTCAAACGTTTTCATACCCAGTCCCACGTGTACGTGTTGCTGTTTTGTAAAAAGTCTGGTGAAAATCTCCCAATAGTGTTACTCAAATAAGTTATGGACTTTCATAAAGTATCAGTCAATACCATCACGTATCTACTTGAATTCCAAATATTTTATTAAATCTCTACTCCTTGCATATTCCAAATTTCAACCCTGAAAACAACCAGGTCCAGTTTTCCGGGCGTAGCCCAGAATAGTGCAAGCTTTTTCAATTTTCGCCAGCTCCATCTGACGGTTGTAATTGGGGGGTTTCCATCCCACTTGGGTGGCGTTCGGGTGAAATCTACCCCTAGACCTCCAACCGATCAATGTTGACACAGCACGCGAGATATATTCATGACGTCACAATAAGAGTTGTGCCATATCCGGGTGGAGGAAGTACGCCATGTTGTTGTGTTTTCTGCAGTTTTTTTGTCAAGGATGATACAAAGAAAAATTATTTATATCTGTAGAAAAGAGCTTTCAAACAGTTCAAGTTTACCAACTAGAAATGATGTGTTCGGTGCTTTTTCCCACTTTCTATTTCACTTTACGCGATTCAGGTTATTCAGATTAATATCACATATACAATGCATTTCTTTAATGTTCCCCCCTTTTATTTTTTGAACGGGTCAACTGAAAAAATTGAAATTTGGGATAATGAAATTAATGCATGAATACTTTATTTTGGAGTGAAATTGACACGTGAAACTTTCAAGATGGCGACAGGGCGCCATCTGGAAAAAAATGAATTCACTCTACTACACCTACTACAAAATGGCGGAACATTTGATAATTTCCTGAAGACAAAACACATTAATATCGATATTTCTAGAAATATTCCTTCTTATCTGACATATGGCAATTCCAACAATCCGATAAGGTTTGTTAAGTTATGTTTTGTTAATAAAAACGACAAAAAATGTCAGTACGACAATGAACATAATTGTTCAGTTAGAATATTCTCTTTTAGTTTTCGGTTTTACTAGTAGAAAGGTACCATGTCAACAATCTCTAAAACGATCAATTGTCGTCCATTGGAAGAAAAAGTTGAAGCGATTTTTATTTACGGTGCGACGCGTTACTTTCACGAGACCGAAAGGATTTTCAATGAACGATTTCCGAATCGTCCTATCTGTAGAAAATATTTGAGGGGAATTGTATCCAAATTCACAACTACTGGTAGTGTACATAACAAAAAGCCCGCAGGTCACCCGTCCATTCCGGAAGAACAGCAAATGCAAATAATTGGTGAGATGGTATAGTAAATCCTGAACAGTCTACTTATTCCGTCGAGAATGTTTGAGAGGTGTCTCCTTCTACTGTGTGGAGACTTTTGAACAGGAAGATGACCCTGTTCAAAGAACAGAATTCTGCGAAATCATGACGGAAACCATTGCAAAGCATCCTACCTATCTTCACAATATTTGTTTTAGTGACGAATGTACATTTTTTTAAACGTCAATGTTCACAGACAAAATTGCCGTTATTGGAGTGACACCAACTCTCTCGTTTTCTGGGAAACACATACCCAATATCCAGGAAAAATTAACGTTTGGGCAGGAATATAAGGAAACCATATTGTAGGACCTCTATTTATTAATCAAAATTTAACAGAGAAACTGTATTTGAATATGTTGGAAACTACTGTTGACCCTCAAATCACTGAAATCGTCGAAGCGAATCCTAATGAATTCGATATGGATATTGTATTCCAACAAGATCGAGCACCACCACATTACTCCAGACAAATAAGAAACTATTTGAATACTACTTTTTCGGTCGTTGGATTGGCCATCGAGGCCCTACAATGTAGGGCCAGCCCGCTCGCCAGATTTGACACATTTGGACTTTTTATGGAGCTATTTGAAGCAAAAGGTGTACGAAACTGAACCTGCTTCTATATTTGTAGAGATATTGACGTTACAGTGTTCGAAAATGTTCGGCGTGAAATATCAGATATGCTGTTCATATGTCAAGATGTTCCAAGGCAATCATTTCGAGCATCTTCTGAACTGCTTATCACCTCATATTATGTAGTTGAACGTCAATGTATTCAGGCAATTATTAAAAGTTCCGCCATTTTGTAGTAGTTGAAAATATTGACATTATATTCTACGGTAGTGACGCATTTGTCGGGAGCTTCAAAAAGATGTGTCACAAGACCCCCCTTTCATTTAATTTTTTTCCCAGATGGTACCCAGTCGCCATCTTGAAAGTTTCATCTGTCAATTTCACTTCAAAATTAAATATTCATGCATTAATTTCATTATTCCAAATTTCAATTTTTTGAGTTGACTCGTTCAAAAAATAAAAGGGGGAGGGATATTAAAGAAATGCACTGTATAGATACATATTTTCACTAAAAAATGTTTCAGTAATTTGTTTGGTTTTCAACTTATTGCAACAACCAGTTTTGTTTTATCTTGATAGCATGTACAGTGTGAGTAGTAAAGTCTCCGTCATGTGGGTTTTTACTCAGTTTTATTCGAATTTTCACTTTGGCATTACTTTTGCATAGATCTAAATAATCCGAATAATCCGAAAATTAGTTGTCGCATGATACATAAAAGTTATTATCTTTGACAGTTCTCGATTCCAGATACAAGTATGTTTTTGATCCTCAATAAGGTACCTTCATAATATCTCTGTTTTTGAAAGGATGGTTTGTGACCGAAAGTATAACATTATTATTGAGATAAACAAGTACTTGGTGCCGTCAATAAAGTCTGCATTAAATGGAAAATAAATTTAACTTCACTAGAAGTTTTCAATAGAACTATTGAACTCAACTCTTCACAATTTTTTATTATCAATGTGCGTTACGGCTTGTCAAATGTAGGAATATCTTTCTAAATATTGATAAGTGCCGCCCTCTGAATTCGCGTTCGTTAGGAGACTGCGAAAGAGAGAGAGGGAGGGAATTTTCAAGTCCTTTCCTAGTTTTGACAAGGTACACTTTTAGACACAAATTACCTTGTCAATAGCCAGTTTAAATAAACTGCATGACAGACTCATTTTGTGACAAGCGCATGCGCGTAGACAAGTTGAGAAAGCGGTAGTTTGAAAATTTCATAGTTTTGTTCAATAATGGCTGGGAAACATGATCTACACAAACAAATCGGTTAGTAAAACAAATTATTTATGATACTATATTCGACCATAGTTTTGTCGAAGCACAAAATTGTGAACAAATGGAAAGGTTGCTTAAGTATAATGGACGTTCGCAAAAGGGTGAGCTGGGTTGAGAGGTTAGTCATCAATACAATGTTATACACGAATTGGAAATATGATGGGGTCATTGAATACTTTTATTTTGGTAAACTTTTACAATTCATTGTCACCTCTACTAGAAACTTTAAAATTAAAATAGATATTGAGTTGTTAACTTTTTGAGGTTAAATTTAAGGTCATATTTTCGAAAATATTGTTATTGTGTGAATTGAAATTGGAGATAGTTCAGGGGAGATTGGTTTGTGTATAAAGACGGAGCAGTAAAAAGCCAAAAAGCAGATTTCTCTATTTCTCTAATTAATCATAAACTACCTTATTGATTTATATATTTTTTTCATAAAAATGCAGGGAACAGAGCAGATTCTTTCATGATATATTCAATCGATCGAAAACCACTATCACTTGGACCATATTATAACTCACATTTTCTGATTTCGAAAATGTTTCATTAAGAACTTCACCTAATGATTTAATTATTTTCAACAATATTCAAAACAGGGTTTTGTAAAGTTCATAAAAAAAGTAGAGGTATTAGTTTCAGATGATTTATGACATGTATTAATTACTCTATCTCAATAACAATACCGTTATGTTGTTGTTTTTTAGGACAGTTACCATTAGAATATTCTCTAATAATTTTGTATCCTTTTGTACTAGAACAATGTTTTTACTTTCTTCGAATGTAATGTGGAAAACTATACGAAAAACACTGCTCATGCTAACGCATGCACACATAAAAAGTTTGTGATGAAAAGGCAAATCCCAAGAGGGGCTGACGTCATCAACTCAGGCTATTATTTGCATTTGAAAATTAACGATTTTGCTATCCTTGCAGAGAAATCTTATGATGAAGTCAGCTGAATTTTTCAAAACTCATTTCTTTTTCTCCAAAGCCAAAGCTTCCAACAGGGTTAATCATTTTTGAGTTGGCCATCCCGTATTCATAGTACTCGTACTAAACGTGCAGTTTAATTGAAAACGCTACTCCATTTTCGTGACTCAGTTGAATCCTGCTACTTCCTCAGTATTTTTAGGACACCGTTGAATGTTGTTTGCCAATTTAAGAAAATAGAAACGTGTTTTCACAATCGTTTTATTCTTGAACCAGTTTCTATTTTCGCCGAGAAAAATGTTGTGTCAAAATTGAAGTGACAGTCCGCTTTTAAAAGGTATGTTGCTATTCCTGTTTGAATTTTGTCTGTATATTATTAGATTATTGCTTTTAACGAATTGTTTTGAGTATGTTTGGAGTGGTTTTAATTTCCATGTTTTAAATGATTATTGTCATAAAAATCATCGCCTTCCAGTGTTTTCGAGAGATTTTTTTGAGTCTGTTATTTTCATCGGATAATGTATAAAATCGGAATAGCACTATTCTGTCACTATG